ACTTGTTGGGTCTTTCCCAAAAAGACTCATGGCTGTATTAGATCAAAAGGGTGCTTCTACTAAATACTGAGCAAAGGGTCTGAATACTTAGGACCATGTGATATTTCAGTTTTTCTTTTTTAATAAATCTGCAAAAATTCAACAATTCTGTGTTTTTCTGTCAATATGGGGTGCTGTGTGTACATTAATGAGGAAAAAAAAATAACTTAAATGATTTTAGCAAATGGCTGCAATATAACAAAGAGTGAAAAATTTAAGGGGGTCTGAATACTTTCCGTACCCACTGTATATATATATATATATACTACTAATGTTATTGTATGTTTGTATATATATATATATATAAATTATATATAATAACATTAGTAGTAGTAGTACTAGTGAACCTGTAATCTGTAAAATTATTTTAAATGAACAAACTAATTAGAAAAACATTCAAATCAACCAATCATATTGAGCAATAGAGAAAAGAACAAGAACCAAATAACATTATTATTATTATTATTTAAACTCAACTTTCCCTTTCAGGAAATTCATAAAATAACGTACATAAACATAAAATGTATAAAAATATAGAAATAATCTTTTAAATTATTTTAAATGAACAAACAAAACTTTGACCAAAAAACTCAACCAAACATAATGAACAACAGAGAAAAGAACAACAGTCCAAATAAACACACACACATTAGAAAAAAAATCACAAACAGTTACATGTTTCATCAGTGTTTGCAGGCCAGAAAATATTAAAGAAGAGAGCGGTCTAGATCCAGACAAACTATCAGCCTGCAGTGAATGAAGCTCATATCAGGACAACAACATGAAGACAAACAACCAGAGGAGCTGCAGCTGGATTCTGAGACATTTCGACCGGATCACATGAACGTGAGTGACGTGCAGCGCTGCTCACACGGATCACACAGCAAAGCCTTTTGACATAACGAAATAAATAAACGGCAAGCGCTAATTTCTCATAAAATCAAATTCATATCAAGCACATCAAGGTCAGCTCAGCAGAGCCATTTGGGTCCTACGGTTAGCTACGGTTCACTGTTGCTCCGGTCAGAAGAGAGCGGCGCGCGGACAGATGAAACTTTCAGTGAGAGAAAAACAATGGCATTCTCAAAAATTAGAAAAGTTGACGGGTCCTTAAAAAGACTAAAATTTAAGGCCATAAAAACTCTTGTTACAAGGAGGTCTTAAATTTGGGGCTGGAAAGACAAAGAATTGCGATATGGCTTAAAGGGATAGTTCACTCAAAAATTAAAATTAGCCCATGATTTACTCACCCTCAAGGCATCCCCGGTGTGTACGACTTCCTTCTTTCAGACGAATCCAATCGGAGTTACATTTAAAAAAATATCCTGGCTCTTCCAAGCTTTATAATGGAAGTGAATGGGTTTTATTTTTTTAATAGTCCAAAGGAAGACCAATAAAGCGCATCCATCCATCATAAAAAATGCCTCACATGGCTCCGGGGGGTAAATAAAGGCCTCCTGAAGCGAATCGATGCGTTTTTGTTAGACAAATATCCATATTTAAAACTTTATAAACCGTAATCTAGCTTCCGCTAACAGTCGTATGCACTAAAACAAAAATAATGTCTATTACTCCCTCTTTTAAGTTTTTCTGTAAAGAACGTAAAATATTTTATGACTCATTGATTTCAATCACTAGGAACAAGAAATGTATAAAAACGTCTCTCATATTAAAAAATGTTATTTGTAAAATGTAATGTTTTACCCTCCATGATGTATAGCTGTTATATGTATCCCCCATTT